CAGCAGCAGCAGCAAGCAAGCTTGGCAGTGACAGACTGATATCACCTAGCACTACAGACTGTATAAAAGAAGTGGACTAAGCGAGTGTGACGTCATCCACAGTGTTCAGCGCCGCTCAGTTGAGGCTCACGATGCTCATGGTTACAGGAGCAAATCTGGAGCCAGGCTCTGTGTTATGAATAGGATTTTTTTGACAGACAAAATAGCAAAAAAATAATTCAGGATCATGTAGAGCGGGTTAATACGAACATTTTAAGACCAAAATGATGAAGCTCACTGCAGTAGGTACAGAGAGAGGAGCCACAAGATCCCAGTGTAAGTCAATTTGAGTCAGAAGGAGCCGGAAAAGCCTCCTTGCGAACTTCCTATTAGGCACGTTAGTTATGTCCACTCATATATACAGTTTATGCCTAGCACCTACCTTACCGCTGCTGCTGAGAAAATAGTCCCTCAACATGCGACGATTCATGCGATGCAAGGTTAGTTTTATTTCAGACATTATTCTCTCAACACAGACATTTACATCGACAGTCTGGTGTAATAATTGTTTTGCTTCGGGTGCTTTGTGGAGTGGGTAAGACTGTTTTTAGTGGCAGGACTATGGCCATTGACATGCACTAGCCTAGCACCACCGACCTCTGCAAATACAAGGATTGGATGGAATATTTTAAAAGTGTCTCCACACTCTGGCTCACTAGGAAATGAGGTCCTATATTCCAGACTGTCCCTACAAGAGTCAATTTTGTGTCATATAGGACCTTTAATACTCTGTCACATTGTTTTTGACCTAATTGCAATATGAGTCACATTTATATCCAAGGAGAATTATTACAGGACATGTTTTTGATTGTTTTTTGACATTTAAACATGGTGACATTTGCCAGTCAGCTGTTACATTGTGAACTGTGATCTTGTCAGCAGAAGCTTAGTCACTGGCTATAGCATCACAACATTGTTCGTGTAATCTTCAACTCATTTTTATTCTTATCAACACTTAGGACAAGTTTACTTCTGTGTTCAACTTTTTGATGCATGTATTTTGATGCTAATGTGAAGACTAAACAAAGCCTGAATAGAGCGTAGTTTAAATGAGATTTGGAGGCGGAGCCAGCTGCCATCTTGCCCCTGCAGTGACTGATGGACGCCAGAGCAAGCAGGCCTGAAATTCCCCAAAGTATTTAATTATTACTGACAATGTTATCTTTTATGAAAGCCCAAACCCTATGTCAACTTCACTTCATCACAGCGGTTCAATGCCTTTCCCCAAATAGGACTGAATGCATTGTTTGTGTGCAGATTAAATTCTTTTCCTAATTGATTTCTTTGAGTGATATATTGACCCATTATTTCCACTGCACAAGGTGTCATCCACAACATTAAACAACATTACCAAAGTTTTTGTCTTGTTTTTTTCTGGTATGAGAACTGCAACCAGCTTGATCAGTGAAGATATGAGGCTGAAAATATCCTTGAAAAACATGTACTCTTACTGTCAGCAGCTACGCTTTCCACACATGACCTGACATAACTTAGCCTTGAGGCATCTCCTGCTTATATCCATGAAGATAGATAAGTTTAATGCCATACTGTGGAAAATTCCAGGCAGAAAAAATGTATCTCCATGGTGTGGAGTATGAAAACAAAATCTTGGTCTGAAAAAAGAACCAAATAACATAAAGTTACATGGTGTTGTGTAGAGAATTAAAGTGAGCACACTAAATATTTGTACTGTAATCAGGACAGACTAAGGCTACGTTTACACTTAGCCGGGTATGTTGAGAAACGAATATTTCCTTCCCTCCATTTTCCAAAATAACCTTGTGCATATAGCATCATTTTCAAAAAAGTTTTCATTTACGTCAATCTGCATAAATACACAATCGAGCGCTGTCATAACTACGCCTTTGGGCGGCACCTTCATTAGATTCAAGCCTGTAGCATTACTCAAAAATACCTTGAAAAACATGCACAAAAACACACCTCTCCACAGATCTGTTCAAGAAGTGTCAAAATCACTGACCTCTGAGCTCATTCATCTCTGGTAATGGATATGATCCATCAGCTGTGTGTGTGCAAATGCAAACACATGAAAGTGTTTGCACCAGAAGAATGTGACTGCTGCTCTGAATGCTTCATGATCATCATCCATAGACTGTCTATGTCATCATCACAGCAAAAGGGAAACACTGGTCGCACTTTTGGCGTGTCAGCTCCTAAAACTTAGTTTAGTTTAAAATACCCGGGTACATGTAAACGAGGCCTAATAGACTCTGAACTTTATTAACAGTTGCAATAAACGGCCCATATTATACTATTTTGTGATCCATGTTTAATGTGGTTTTCTCATCAAAAACATACTTGGAGTTGCATTTTGTTTCATTCACACATTTAACATGTGAGTTTTTCTCTCAAATGGAAAACTTTCTGTTCCACCTTGTGATGTCATGTGGTAATACAGGAAGTGGGCCAATGTGTTTTTAAACTCCATACACCTTCACTAGAATCATTTGAGTAATTTCAGCTCTGGAATTGCCCATCTCAACTAAATAAAAGGTGAAAGGTAGCTGCTGAAAACTATCACTACATGACATCACAAGGTGGAACAGAGTATTTCAAGCTTTGGTGATGTAGACAGACTAATAATAGATAATAATAATAGACAGACTCAAAAATGTGTGAATAAAACAAAACACAACTCCAGGTATGTTTTTGAGGAGGCAACAACATTATAACATCTTTAATAAAAATGGCTGAGATGTGGGACCGTACACATTTGTACATCTTCATTACTTTGATTTTAGAACTTTAAGCTGCTTGTTCAACTACTAAAGAAGCAGAAGTAAAATAGTGTAAACTGAGCTGTCAATCTTTGTATCTGGTAAAATCTAACATCTCTCACTCCTGTGACTGAACACTATTTAATGAGAATGAATTGGGCGTCGGAAAAAGAATGGAAGTGTGTAATGAACTTGTGCAGTGTTAATAAGTCCATGAGATGAATAAGTGAAGTTAGTGTGTCTGGTTTTAATAAGCCTGCAGTAGCGGCTCCAATGCAGGAACCTATTAGAATGACATAATGACATTTGTAAATGGTGTATAATGGCGTGTAACATAATGGGGTCACAGCGGAGATTACGATTGGTGAAATAGCTCAGTATCACAAGTGTTCTAATAAAAGCTCTTAACAGTGTGAGCACATTCATGTGTCAGGAATAAAAGAGCTGTCTGAACATTAGTCTGTGCTCAGCCATGTGCTTCTTAATCTTGTGAATTGAATGGTGTAAATGTTTGTGTGAGGCATTTAAAGAATAAAAAAAACAGCTTTTGTTGTTACTGATTTAATTTTCTGAAAAGTTGTTTAATGGGATAAGGGCAAATAAAAGCCTTTGGTGTGTGGCTTCAGATCATATATGAATGTTTGAATGGATAGTTTAGATAATTTAGTTGAGATCAGATTAATAGAATTTTAATATAGATTTGTTTACATGCCTAGAGTGAAATCATTTTAAAGGAGCACTATGTAACTTGTCTGTCGAGTCTGTCACCTGCTCATCCACCCTGGATTTCTTTGTTTGTTTTTGTTTGTTTGTTCGTTTGTTCAATAAAACCACCTGTAAATGAATAAATACAAGATAAGTTAAATGCCATACAGTGGAAACATTTTGGCAAACATAACGTTTCTATGGAGACAAACATTTGACAGACTGCACCAGAAAAGTTACATAGTACAGGTAACCCTGGTGATTGGAACTGTTTCTTTTAGGGCTGGGCAAAAAATGATTAACAAACAATGAATATAATAATCAATTTAATCCATTAATTTGATCATTTTTTTTAGTTTTTATTTTCTCCACTTTCTAGCAAATAAATTACATTGAAAATGCAAGAAAGCTCAGTGCAGTCACAGGGACCAAAGTTTAGCACAGGGCCCTGCAGCACTGACCACTCTGAAATCACTGATGTCATATTGGGGTTGTGTGTTTAATGGTCCCAATGGTTAATAGGTTAAATATGATCACTGAATACCAGTGCATCTTTAGTTTTGACCATTTTCTGTAGTTTACAGAACAGGGGAGGAAAAATTAAAATTTTAACATTTCTTTAGTGCAGTTCAGCACTCAGCAAACCTGACTAGTTCTTATTATCTTTCCTTGTTCATATAGTTCTTCATAGTAACATTTAAAAGCAGTAAAACAATACAGTAGAGTACAGTCTGCCTCCCTGTTAAGCATGAAATATTCTCTCACTTGCTGGAGAGACAGCTCCCAACTGCCACTGAGACACCTTGTTCCCGCTCTGAACAGGATAATGTCCATGCTGTCGTCTAAACACTCATTTAGACGCTCTAACAAGTGGATCCCAACTGCTATTTATGACCGCCATTTTACACCACCTCAAGTGTCCTATTTTCTCACGCAATTTTCTGACGCTTTTCGTGGCAAGTATGGCTGTGGTTAAGTGGTACCAACATGATGAAAGTGAAAGAGCTCTATATATAAACTAGACACAGTGGACCGCATTCATACTTTCAGCAGATGGAAGTACAGGATGTATTTTATGGTTTACTTGTCACAGTGGGGATCTGTCCCATATGATCACTCTATACATAAACAAGAGATTCATTCTGATCACATCTCCTAAACTGCAGTAGGCTCTGTTATCATTTTATTTATTATTTTGCATACGAGACATTTCCATACATATTAACAAACATAAAATGACTTCTTTGATAATAAACACAAAAAAATACTAAGCAGTATCACCACAAACTGATGATAATTTTTTTTTTCATCAAAGAAATTATAATTCTGTTTTGCTTTTCTGACCTTGAGAATGATTAATGGATTATGGATTTTTCAAGTACAGGTACCAAAAACCAAGTATCATTTAAGTGCTGGTACCAAAAATATTGAGAAGGTATCCAGTCCTACTTGTGAGATTTGGTTTTGCGCTCTAAAATGAAGTACTACTGTATGTCTATGTGCCTTTTCTCTCCACAGGTTCCCCAGGATGAGTGGGGGGGGTATCCTGGAGGGGGTAAGGATGACGAGATCCCCTGTCGCCGCATGAGGAGCAGCAGTTATGTTAAAGCCATGGGAGATGAGGAGAGCGGAGAATCTGACTCCAGCCCCAAGACCTCTCCTCAGAAGTCAGTGAGGCCGGACGCTCTGGTGAAGGCCCTCATTAGACCTAGAGACCTACTGGACTCACAGAGGTACACACTGCAATATTCAAATGTAAGGCTGGGATCATAAAGCCACTACACGGTAAAATGTTTGGGTTATCATGTTGCCATTAGAAATGTCCATAAACTTCAAATCACCTGATATAGAGCATTTTACACAGTGGCTTTATGTATCCCAAAAGATGTGCTTTTCAGGCAGAATGTACAGTACTTTAGTTTTACAGAAGATTTGTGATTGTAGGTTTTTGTCATAGTTTTGTTTTTTAATTTCAGTTTGAACCTTACTTAAATTGCATTATGTCTTAAGCAAGACACTTCATCAATATTGCCAGGATGTGAATGACTTTGCAGAAAAAAACCTGCCCAAACCTGCATGATTGAATACAAACTATTTGTAATTTGTTAAACTATAGACATTTCTAATTATTTTCTCACAAATGTACCTCAAAAATTGAAATAATTAATACCATAATATGTTTGTATTTCTACTCCAGTGAGTAAATTTAATTTGAAGTTTAGTCGTAAGGTCATAATCCCTCCTATTTCTTGTAGTATTTTGTTGCCCACTGACACTTGGGTGCCAGGCAGTGGGTTGCAGATCCTTGCACTTACCATAGGCCTTTTATGGCCAGTCATATCCGTTAGTACTTGGTGCCTCCATTCTTCAGGGATGTGCTCTATAAAGGGTAAAAGCTGTTGTTTTTTGTTATTTGACGCTGAAAGCAAGCACACATAAGAGGATTACACGGTAGGACAAGCGGAAGCACAATGTCACAGCAAAGTAAACACAAGCAACTTTGTTATTCAGTGATACTGGAAACGATGATTGCACTAAACCCATTACAACCATATGGAATAATAGGACGCCAGATCTGTTCAAATATTATTAACATTGGCTTTCGCACCTTTTATTTCCACTCTAATTCATCTACCGCCGCATACGTCACAGGAGCATAATGCCATCATTTGTCATTCTATATATTAGTCGCTGCTTATTAAAAGGGCTATTCTTTCTCCCAATCCTTAAGTGAACCTTTTCAAATAGGTTTTATTAGACCGACTATTATATTTTATTATTATAGTCCACAGGATTGTGCAGTGTATGGAAGATATCCATTCATCCCAAATGGAGCAGAGAATTGTCTCTTTCACATTTTCAAAAAGAGCTCTTTGTATCTCTTTGTTCAAAACATAATATAAAAATGTAATTACAGTGGAGTTTTATTTTTTAAATACTAACTTTTATCTAGTAATTTCTTTGTGCAAGTAAATGCGAGGTTAACAATGAACATGACTTTTTATTTTCTTTTTATGAGTCCAGTTCTCAACATTATTGTAGCCCGACAGTAACTGATGCTGTTCTGCAGTTATGCACAAAAAAGCATTGTGGCTCATTATATTACTAAAATGATTTGCCTTGTTAAACTGGTTGTATTCAACACGCTACATTTTTCTTGTAAACGTAACAATGACTTACATTTAAATTTAAACTGGACCTTTTGGGGAACATGGACTCAATTTTAATTCTTGCCTTGCTTTTAATTTGCTGATTTTCTTTTTAGCTATGAACAAATAAACACACTTTCTTGGCAGTTTGCAATGATGCATTATTAACTTGGAGACAGATGCCCCAAATTCTCAGTCTGTCAAAATCTTTAATTTCACTTCAGCTTTGGTGTTGGCAAGACTGTGCATGTGGTGTGTGCTATGTTTCATACCTTTCTAAATAAAGTCGATAATACAAAAGTTAACATAGCACATACGCAAGGGTGTGTTTTTGCTGATTGCAGATGGGGGAAAAAAAGGAAAAATATGTGATTCTCAATTAAAACTCACAGCTAAATGTCAGTAAAACTTGTCCCAGCACTGCACAGCACAGTGTGATTGAGAAGGCGCCAAAAGCAAATCATGACTGAGTGTTATGTGGAGGTGCCAGACGGGACTTTCCCAAATATGACTCGAATAGCCTGTGAACACTGCAAAGATGCAATGTTGTTTTTTTTAGACAGAGGCTCTACAGATCACTACATTCACAATATAAGGCCTGCTTGTGCAAATGTGACTATGCTAAATGGCAATACTGAACATTTTGTAAACCTATTGTGTGTGTTTGTGTTTGTTTTGTCTCATTTCTCTTCTGTTTGCAATGGGACTGGCTACACACAGATTCTTATAAGCATTAAAGGGACAATTCGGAATTTTGGACATAGAGCCTCATTTTCTAATTATCCACAGTGTTGGAGACGTGTGGAGACACTTTTTTAAATATTCCATTCAGTCCTTGTATTTGCAGAGGTCACTGGTGCTAGGCTAGCGCATGTCAATGGCCATAGTTAGCCTGCCACTAAAAACAGTCTTGCCAACTCCACAAAACATCCGAAGCAAATCTATTATAATGCCAGACTGTCGACGTAAATGACTGTGTTGATAGAATAATTTTAGACATAAAACCAACCTTGTATTTAATAATTTATGTCTGAGCAGCAGCAGCGAGTTGTACTTCCTGATAAAAAGCTTGACAGCAGCGGACTGATATATGAGAAAATAGTCCCTCAACATGCGGCGATTCATGTGATACAAGGTTAGTTTTATTTCAAACATTATTCTATCAACATAGACATTTAAAATGATAGACTGGCATAATAATTGTTTTGCTTTGGGTGCTTTGTGAAGTGGGTAAGACTGTTTTTAGTGGCAGGCTAACTATGGTCATTGACATGCACTAGCCTAGCACCAGCGACCTCTGCAAATACAAGGACTGGATTGGATATTTAAAAAAGTGTCTCCACACGTCTCCAACACTCTAGCTAACTAAGAAATGAGGTCCTATGTCCAAAATTCCGAACTGTCCCTTTAAAACCTGACAAAAGGAAAGTGAGTGGTATGCACATGAATTGACATTGTTCTGCCTCCCCGTTTGTTGAAGTTAAAAGTAACTCTTGATTATCCTGCCTCCCCCCAAGAAAATGAGGGCGATATTAAATGTGATATCCCAGCGAGCGTAATAATTGCCACAAAAAATGTTATGTAATACTAATAACCCTACAATTTTTAAGTCTTTTGAGATGAATCATTGTTGGTACTCATGTTTTTGAGTCATGCTTTTGTCATTCAGTGAAAAGGTTAGTTGAAATAGGAAGACATGTTTAGAAAGAAAAATGAGTGAAGTTCTTTAGGACTAGCACCTCTTCTTGCTTCTCTTCCTCCCCCAGTTGTCTTCGTAGTTCTCTGAATACTTCTACTACTGCATTCTTAACTCTGGTTCAGGCCTCTGTCCCTTGCAGAAGGACATCCTCGTAATCATAGTAGCAGTCATATATATTTGGATCTCATCTGGAGACTCCATATCATCCATCTTCTTATTTTTGTTCTTTTTGTTCTTTCTGTTTCTGGTGGTGGTTGTTGAAACCTGAATCCTCTCCACCTTCTCACACTGGGATCCACACTATTTGGAGTGACTTCAGCTCCTCTGCGTTGTGTTCTCCTCTAGCTCTTCATTTGTATATTTAAAGCAGGTGAACCAATCCTCTGCTACATCAGGCTCCCAAGTATCCTGGTCCTTGTGTCTGGTGGTCATCTTCACACTTGACAGTTTCAGGTTCTTGCAGAGTTGAAACATCCAGAATATCAGTCTCCTCAGGGACCTATTAACTGTGAGAATCAGTTTGTTCCTTCTCTTATGGTTCAATGTTGATCACCTCCTCCTCAGCCTGTTTTGTTGGTCCTTCTTCTTCTTGTGAAAAGACTTCAGCTTCTCCAAAAGTCTCCCGAGTGGTCTGGACCTGATTTAGCTCCACTACTGAGGTCTTCTGATCTTCAAATGTCCTTCATCCTCTAGTAGACTGCAAATTTTTCTTTCCATAACTACTTCTGAGTCTCATCTCTGCTCTCTTTCTTCTCGCCCTGTTCTTTCACGTCTTTTTTGGTAACGTTCATAGCTCCATCCTCTGCTTGCATCCCTTCAAACTGAGGAACTAATATCAATGATTGATTTGTCGTCAGTATTTTCAATTATCCAAACGAATGGCTCATCGTGAGGTTTTATATCTTCACCTTTTTACGTTTACAGCTTGTGGTGTGTTATTCTAGATTGGATTTGGTCACCTCACCTTGATTCTCAATTGAAATGACCTCTGCAACTTTTCCAGAAATTTATTGGATTGCTTTTGTCTCTACTTATGTTTTTTCTTCTCCAGTTTAGTCCCGCCCGGTCAAAACACCCTCTAGAGGAGCAATCAGTCATTTTAATTTTCATGTTTTTTTCCTTTCTACAACCCTTTGTAGTCATCCTTACTACATCTTAACAATATGTGTGACCGACATAGTAGCTATAGTGAGACATTGAAGATTTATAGAATTATTTTAGATGGCAGAAAGACACTGTGTTGCTATGTATGTTGATTGAAACAGTATACCCTACCTCTGGACCGCCTCTCCCCTGCATAAGCCTGAAAGTAAATAATGGGCCCTCTTGTTGACATTATACAAACAGCCTCTCTCCTCAGATGGAGTGTACTCTGCCTGACACTTGGAGGCCTCTTTGTGGTGTCCCGCAGTGGCCCTGACAGACAGCCATACACACACTAACACCCATGATTGTCACATCCCCGTCTCGCAACACTGGCCGCGCTCATTACCATTCACAGGAAGCCCTTTAAAAGCTGCTGCTCTTTCTGGCTTTCTCTGGGGAATAAAAGAAATCCACAATGGGTAACAACACCAGAATCCACCACTGGCAAATTAACCCTGATTAAATATAAACAAAATAATGACGTATTTTGTATTGTGTATTTATGAGGAATGGCAAGGGATATGAGAAACACATATTTCCAACATCTGCCATTTTGTAGATTTTGGCTTAGGTAACACTGTATATTTTATATTAGCACCTTTTGTATTCATTATATCACTTAACAAAGCATTTACCGCAGAATTTAAAGGGTCCAGAGTGCAAGGTAGCGAGGCTGCCAGTCTTCTCCATTGGTCCCTCTGACCACCACCAGTACTCTTGCATAGGGCTGGCTATCATT